AAAGGTATCTTTCTTTTTTTAATTTTTATTTTTTTATTAATTATAGTTTATTTACTTTGTATCCCAGCTGTAACCCCCTTCTTCATTCTCTCCCAATCCTACCAACCCCCCCTTCATCTCCTCCTATGCCCCTCTCCAAGTCCACTGATAGAAGAGGTCTTCCTCCCCTTCCATCTGACCATAGTCTACCAGTCTCATCAGGCCTGGCTGCATTGTCCTCCTCTGTGGCCTGCTAAGGCTGCTCCCCCATCAGAGGGAAGTGATCAAAGAGCCAGCCACTGAGTTCATGCCAGAGACAGTCCCCTTATTAAGGTACCCACTTGGAGACTGAGCTGTCATGGGCTACTTCTGTGCAGGGGTTCTAGGTTATGTCCATAAATATTTCCTAGGCCCAGATTTTTTGGTTCTGTTGCTCTCCTTGTGGTTCTGTGCTCTTCTGTCCCCTCCAGGCCTTTCCATCTCCCCTTTATTTCATAAGATTCCCTATACTCTGCCCAAAGTTTAGCTATGAGTCTCAGCTTCTGCTTTAATACCCTGCTGGATAGAGTCTTTCAGAGTCCCTCTGTGATAGGCTCCTGTCCTGTTCCCTGTTTTCTCCCTCTTCCTTTGTCTGTCCCATTTGCCTTTCTGAGTGTGGATTGATCATCTTTCCCAGGGTCCTCCTTCTTGCCCAGCTTCCTTAGGTATACATATTTTAGTACCTTTGTCCTATATTATATGTCTAATATCCACTTATAAGTGAGTATATACCATGTGTATCTTTCTGTTTCTGGGATAGCTCACCCAAAATGATCTTTTCTAGTTCCCACAATTTGCCTGCAAATTTCATGATTTCCTTGTTTTTAATTGCTGAGCAGTATCCCATTGTGTAAATGAATCACAGTTTCTGTATCCATTCCTCTGTTGAGGGACATCTGGGTTGTTTCCAGATTCTGGCTATTACAAATAAAGGTATCTTTCAAAAATTGCCTATATAATATAAAGTAGCAAAATCTGATGACATTCAACAATGTTTTCTTTAGTTCTTACCAAAACACTAGGTGAGAAAAAAAAATAGAAATAAATTTAAAAATTAAAAGGTGTCCCTATCCACAGTTTTCACACACCAAAACAAAATATCCTTTTAAATAACAAGAATACAAATAAATACAAAAAAAAAAATTAGTTCATTCATTGTGAACACTACTGGAAATATCATGGTATCCATTCCTTTTTTGTTGTGGTTTTCATACCAGTAGGCACTAATTTTGGATACTAGGTATGTATCCAATGAAAGAGCATTTCTCAGCCTCCCTAACAGATGGGATTGGCTTCATACCCAAGTATCAGCCATCAGAAAAGAAGCAGCCTAAAGGCAACTTTTAAAGTTAAAAACTATTTATTTTATATTAATTATGTATATGAGGGGCCAGTATGTGCCCATGAGTGCAGGGGTCCATAGAGGCCAGCTGCTGAAGCTGGAGTTAAAATACCCAGTTGTAAGCTGCCTTATGTGAGTGGTGAGGAGTCAACTGAGCCCTCTGCCAGGGCCCACCCTTAACCACCCAGCCACCCCTCAGACAGCTCTAGATTTAATAAACTTTAAGTGACAGCTGGAGTATGACATTTGGACCCCTTCTCACTTCTAGTCCTTCTTCATTCTACTGTTTAAAGGTATAGGAGTGCTCTACACCATTTTGGACCATGAGGCTTGTTTTCTGAGTGAACTAAAGGAATCAGATCACGTGAACTACCTAACCTGAACGTTTACAGGAGTAAAGTACGTTTCTCTCTGGTTTGAGTGGTTATTGTAGGTCTGTGTTACTTATAGGCAAACCTAATCTCTACTGTGTATTATCGGTTACACCTAATGGGTCCTCGGTAGATCTCTCCCCCGTGTTTATTAATTAAAAGGGACTGCAATTGTCGTAGCCCAAATAAAAGTGATCGTAAGGGACCAGCTCTACCCTTGTCGGTCTGTTCTATCAACAACCTCGGAGCGTGTCACTTTCTGAGTCTTCTTTCTTTAGATGTTTCAAATTGCACGATGGTGAGCAAAGAAAGAAAAGGAAATCATCTTTCCCCCCTGTCTCCATTCGGTGTTTTTCTGCTGTCTGCAACGTCCTGGTATGAAGGCATGAACTTAAGCGGTATCAGCCAATGACAGGAAGCCTTGGGGAGTACAGCCCTGGGGAAGAAACAGGCAGAACCCGCTATCACTGAGCTCTCCTGCCATCTGTAGGGTCAACATCTTCATGTTTCTTGATAACGTGAGATCATTAAATGTCTTCACTGGCTACTTCCCTGGGCGGGGAGCCTTGGCTGTCTAAAATGGAAAAAGCAAGCTGAGCGCTAGTGTGCACTGGCCTCTCTGTACTTCCTGACTACAGGAGCAGCTGGACCAACTCTCTCAAGCTCTTGCTTCCCTGCTGCAACGGCCTGTGCCTTGAACTACAAGTCATAATTTGCCTTCTCCCTTCTGTTGTTTTTGCCAAAGCGTTGTAACACAGCCACAGGTGAAGAAGTTTAGACGCCACGTAAAACTGGACAAAGCAGTGTTTACCTGTGATCCCAGTAGCAACAAGGAAGGTGGGGACAGGAGAATCCCTGCATGTCCATGTAGCATCAAAGTTGGTGTACACAGCAGCAGACAAGAAAATCTGTCACAGGCAGATGGAAGGCAATAACCAGCACTTGAAATTACTCTCTGGCCTCCGCAAATCCACTACAGTACACAAACGCACACATCACAAAAGTAAAACCTAATTAACTTTTAAAATATTTTACTTTTTCCTTTGCAAAACAACCATTAAAGCTAAAATATCAATAGGTGTTTTTTTGTGGGGGTTTGTTTTGTTTTTTGTTTTTTGTTTTTGTTTTTGTTTTTTTTTTGGCTATGTTGACTTTTATATTTTAAAAATGTAACTACTCTCTTCTCAATGGTTAGCAATCTCATTTTATTTTCTAGTATTTACGAAAAGATTTTAGTTGATTTATGCCTTCCAGGTGTTTCTTACAAATGATTACACTCATTAGTGGTTTTCTAATTAGCTAAGATATTTACAAACATAGTAATCTGGTCCCTTCCTCCCTGTTTGAATATCATGAGTAGGCAACTCCTTACTGCCAAACCCTTGCCCTCTGCCCTCCCTGTTCTGCTCTCTCACTACCATCAAGAAGTTTTCAGGCCAAACACAGCGAACATTTCACTGTCTTTTCACAAGATCCAAACATCTCTGCATATGAACGTCTCTGATGTGAAGAAGGATGCTCTCCACATTCACTTCCCACGGTCTTTATATCTGGACCGAACCCTTCCTTCACCCCGACCCCCCAAAAACTGCCAAAACGGTTTGCCTTTGTCTTTCTTCTCTCACTGTACATATGAAAGCTTCCTATCAGAATACCAGTCTCATCCTATTCTAACCGACGTTTACAAGTCTTTCCAATATGTGTTGTATTCAATAAATGTGAAAATATGGAAAATTTATATAATACAACAAGGTAGCCAGAGATGAGTTTAATCAGTAGTTACTCTGATATAAAGTTGACTAAAAGCACTTTAAGTCTCCATATCAGTCAATGGGCACCTATTACCAGCATTTTTTTTACTACTTTGCTGTAGTGTTTTCTGTATTGTAACAAATGAAAATGCAAGTATTTGTGGGGTCCATATAATTCTTTATACTACTATAGTGATTAGAATATGCCAAGATCCTCATGCCCAACCCAACAGGGTTTTGGACAATCCTCACCATTCCAGGTGCTGTCCACTCTAGTAACAACTGACCATATGAGCAGTACAGAGAGGTGGCCAAGTCAGCAAGCACTTCCTGCTTATACTGAGTCCCACAGTTTTCTGTCACATTTTGAGAAGGCTGTGAGATGGAAACGAACTGCTTTTTATTTCAGCCTTCTCTTGTTCTAGATAGCCCAGCCTCCATTTTGACTTCCTCATAATGTGTAAGCGCGTGCTCACCTGTGCATGCGCATGTGCAAGCCCCTAGCAAACCTCTCCCTGTGATCTATTTTGACCGCTTTTCGTTCGGTTCCATTTAACCACGTCCTTTCCAGTGTCTTGATGCACACTGAGCCACCTCCAGCTCTCTCTTCTTCAGTGCTGTTCCTCTAGTATCTCAAATGCTTGTCCCAACTTTCTCCTCCATCCATTCTCAAGTTTAGGACACAGAGCATATGACTTAATTCATCTTGTTTGTGTCCTTGCTTCTTTTTATGCAGGAAAACAAACCACAGATGAAAACTGGCAAACTGGAGAGAAGCAATACAAGAGAACCTTTCTGTTTCTAGGCATTGTGATACACTATTGTTGATTTGCCCTAAGCTCTCATCCCTCTGTAGCCTATGCCCATTGGAATATACCAGGTTTTAAATCTTTATGTTGAGGTTAAAGGAATTTCAAGGCTTCTGACCCATAGATCTTAGCCCTATTGTTTATCTTAGCCTGATGTTTATCTGAATATTAATCATAGAAGGTCAGCACAATTAATTCTGTATTCCTTTCACAGTTTTTAAGAGAAAAATTAACTATGTCAACAAACAAAAACATAAATGCCACTGTTACACTTGCACAAGTTTTCTAAATGTCCAAGAAGGACAAAAACCATTTCTAGCTGTGACAATCTGCAGCACAGATGGGATACGAATCGGGAGGTAGGCACTATTCTATGTGACTTTCATATATGAACAGCTTTCATCTCCTTTTCTGACCCTAAGAAGAAAAGTAGTCACTGCTACTGCTGTCTCTAGCTTGTCAACTGGAAAAGCACAGAGGTCACAATGTCATCCAATCAGAAAATTATGAACATGGGAAATAAACCCAGGATAATTATTTTGGACCCTTTAATCCTACTAATGTCAGGAAACATACTTCCTAACCAAAACCTTTCTGCTTAGCGGTAGGGCATGTTAGATAAGTATCATAAGCAAATGATGATGACGGTGGTGTGTGTAGGTGTGGGTTAGGTGACAGTATGCCCGGAAGTTTACTTGAGACACCTTTGATGGCCCCTACAGGTGTTGCACGTGTGGCTGCTGTGTCACACGTGCCTCAGGAGGTGGCACAGAGGAGAGATGTGTAAGCTCCATGTTCTGACCGGCGAACATCAGAATGATTAGTAACCCAACACTCCCTGGAAAAAGCGAGCCCGAGACGACCTCCAGTTCAGTGCCAAAGGCCCAGAGAGGAGGCTAGCCTGAGACTACCACCAGCCCAGCACAGTGCAAGACCAGACGAGCTCCCAGGGTGGCAAGAGACCCCGGCCTGGGACTGCACGCCCTGGGTGGGAGTGCAAGGCCCAGTTCTCTCTCTTGGCCTCAGGATTAGATGTAGCTCTCAGCTACTTCTCCAGTGCCGTGTGTGCCGCCATGATGGTAATGAACTAAACTTCCAAAAGTGTAAGCCACCAATTAAATACTGTCTTCTGAGAGTAGCCTTGGCTGTGGTGCCTCTTCCCAGCAGCAGAAAAGTGAGTGAGACAACCCACATCCCATTGTCTAGAAACTATTCAAAAGATTGGGTGCAGCTGCAAGAGATGCTAGGAAATAAGCAAGTTACCTAGGCAGCTTGCACTAGAGCAGTGGTTCTCAACCTGTGGGTCACAACCCCCACAGGGGTCATATATCAATATCCTGCATTTCTGATATTTACATTACAATTCAAAACAGTAGCAAAATTACAGTTATGAAGCAGCAAGGAAATAATTTTATGATCAGCAGTCATCACAACATGAACAACTGTTTTTTTTTCTTTTTTTTTATTATTTTTTTCTTTTTAGTTACATTTTGTTAACTCTGTGTCCCAGCTGTATCCCGCTCCCTCATTCCCTCCCCAACCCCACACTCCCTCCCTGGTCTCCTCCCTGCCCCTTTCCAAGTCCACTGATAGGGGAGGACCTCCTCCCCTTTCATCTGACCCTGTTTTATCAGGTATCTTCAGGGCTTTTAAAAGGTTGCAGCATTAGGAAAAGCTGAGAACCACTGTTCAACAGAGATATCCAACTAGTTAAAACTCTAGTTCATTCACTAATCAAAAGCAATGCAGAGAAAGAAAACCAATGAAATCTATATTGACCTTGACCAAGGAAAAAAATAAAGTGAACCATAGTCATTGAGAAGGGACTAATAAAAGTTAAATTACAGACACGATAAAAATAGAGAGCAGAAACAGCAACAAAAGTCTTCCAAAACTATATCATCGTTGTTGTTGTTGTGGATATAAACATGTTTTTGTTTTAATCCCAGGGGAGGGATGTGGAACTGATTCAGATGATCCACAGCAGTAAACTATTTGCCTCATGTGGGCTCTGAGAGGAGCTCTTTGCCAGCTGCAGAGAGCTTAAATCTGAGGACTCAGGAAAGAGAATGAATGCGAGCACACAGAGAGTGTGGAGTAGCTGTGAGAAAGAACAAAGCTGCTGCTACTCTCCTCCTCCTACCCCAGATTCTGTTGCTGTTAATGCAGTGAGACAAGAAATTGGAGATCTCCCAAAACAAGGATTGGACTGGCTCCAAAGAACCCAACAACCCTAACCAGCAGGAAGCACCTAAGAGAACTGCACCCCCTCTCCCACTAACTCTCCTACCTGGTGTTGGGGTGAAGTAGGGAGAAAGAGATATAAGAAATATAAATTAAAAAGTTTTTTTTAAAGTACGCCAACACATGGTTTCTGAGTTCTCTCATTTGAATTTTCAACTATAAACAGTCACTGAAGTCTAGGCCTGAATCTCCATCCCAAGACCTCTAGCTTTCTATTGCTATGATAAAAATATAATCAGAGCAACTTGGGGAGGAGAGGGTTTACTTCATCTTACAGGTTGTAGTCCTTATTGAGATAAGCCAAGGGAGGTACTCAAAATAAGAGCTTCAAGAAGAAACCTCAGATTAATGCTACCTACTGGCTTGCTCCCTGCTCACCTTCTTAAATAGCTCAAGACCACCTACCTAAGAATGGTATCACCCATGGAAAGCTCGACCTTCCTACAAATGGCAAGCAAGAAAATAGCCCATAGCCATATTCCCCAGGCTAATCTAATGGAGTTAACTCTTCAATTGGAATTTCCTATTCCCAGGTGTATCAAACTGACAAACAAGTTTGGGCATCACACCAAGTCATTATCTTGTCTATGATAAAGATTTTTCCTGACCTCAATCAGTCAACTCAACTTCACTTGACTGATAAATCATCAGTAACTCTACTACTTCATTTCAACTTCCTAGTCTTTTTTTTTCCTAGTCTTTACTTATATCCCGAACACCACCTAATCTTCTCAATAATAAAATTTTTCAGAGAAAAAGTTTTAGCCAAAAGTACATTTTAAAAGTTACTATCTGTGGAATAGTTCAGCAGTATGAAAAATCAGTAGTATGAATAATTGAGGGCAATGAATTTATAGAGATGCAAGTATATATAGATTTCATATCTCACTACCTAACATTAAGAATCACTATAGAATGCTGGAAATATAGCTCGGTCATTTAAGTGATTGTTGTGTAAACATGAGAACTTTATCTTGATATCCAGAACTCATTTTTTTAAATAAATGGATAAGATAGCATATAACTGTAGTCTCAGTACTGAGAAGGTAGAAACAGAAGGATCCCTGGACCTACTGGTCAATCAACCTAGCTCTCTTGTAGGTCTCCAGGACAGTGAATGAGCCTTTATCAAAAACAAGGTGTAGAGCTGCTGAAGATTGATACACAAGGTTTTGGGGACTCCATAGGCATATTTGCCTACACGTGTGCATGCACGCATACACACACAGACACACACAAAAGTTAAAGCAAAGAAGAATGTCTATAAAGTAAATAAAAACTGCTTCCATGTGACATGGTGAAAAAGAGCCAGGAATGAAAAAATTACACACTGTTTCAAAGAAAGAAAAGAAAAAAGAGCTTCAGAAGCTAACAAAAGTAGTAGTGTGAGAAATGAGAAGTGTGTAGGCAAGGAGAGAGTTGAACAGAGAAAAGAATAAGTCCCGTAGGTCCCCATGGTTGACGGACCCCTAACCAAACTAAGCAAAAGACATAGGGAAAACCCAAATTATCAAAACTAGAGTTGAAAAGGGGAAATATTACAAGAGATTCTAATAAAATCCAGGGTTCATTAGGGAATACTTGAGAAACTCAAATTCCGAGAAATTGTAAAATCTAAAAGAAATGAATAAATTTCTATAACATACTAAATCAAGAATATATAAGTAATTTAGAACCATAACAAGTGAGATTAAAGCAGTTTTTTAAGGTCTCCCCACAAAGAAAAGACCAGGATTAGATAAACTGTTGAATTTCATCAAGTTTTTAAAGAAGAGCCTCGAATTTTTCCACAAAATAAAAAGGTATATGAACGCACCTAGAATTACTCAAATGGAAAAAAAAAAAACAGATTTTAAAAATTGAAAGCTATAGACCAACTTCCCTGATAAACATAGACACAAAAATTCTCAGCAAAATTCTTTCAAGCCAAATTCAATAAAATGTTAGAAAGATCATAAACGACCAACTTATTTTCATTCCAGAGATGCAAAGATGGTCTAATACACACAAATCAACAGAGATAATGTCTTACAACAATAGACACAAGGACAAAAATTACATCACCTCAACAGATGCAGAAAAGACATTGGATGATATTCAGTAAGTCTTCATGATAAAGGCACTGACAGAACTGAGAGAGAAGGAGTACACTTCAACAAAATAAAGCTGCGAAGACACACTCACACTCAACCTTGTACTAGACGGAAAAGAACTGAAATCATCCCCTGTAGTATCTGGAACAATCAAAAGCTGTCACTCTCTCTGCTTTTAGTCCTCATGATGTTCAAACTCCTAACTAGGGCAATAAGATAAAAGAAAGAATTAAGGGACACAAACATAGAGAAAGATGTTAAATCATTCTGATTTGCAAATAAGATAACAAATACTTAAAAGAACCTAGAGGTGGGGCTGGAGAGATGGCTCAGAGGTTAAGAACCCTGGCTGTTCTTCCAGAGGTCCTGAGTTCAATTCCCAGCAACCACATGGTGACTCACAACCATCTATATTGAGATCTAGTGCCCTCTTCTGGTAGGTAGGCACACATGCAGGCAGAACACTATATAGTGTTTTATATATATATAAAATAAATATATATTTTTAAAAAAGAAGCTAGGATATATCAGAAAAACATTGGAGCTCTTTACCACTTTCTGCAAATCAACACAAAAATCAACAGGTTTTTTTCCATATATATAGGAAGTGAGAAAGCAGAAACATAAATCCATTCAGATGGACACACAGAGAAATAAATAAATAAGTGTAAAACTTTATTTATCTTTACTTTATATTCTGAGGAAATAAGTAAAAGAAGATAAAAAAAAAAAGCCCCCAGGTTCATAAAAAAATAAAAGTACAACTACAACACAGTCTCCTCAAAATTCTTTACAAAACTAGGAAAAAATCCTAAAATTCATATAAAAATACAAAAGACTCTGAATAGTCAATGCAATCTTTAAAAAAAAATTGCTGGAAGAATCAAAATACTTCATCTCCAATTATAATATAAATTAACTAAAAAAATAGCACTGATACAAAAGCAGATGTGCAGGAGAGGACTCAAAAATAAGCCCATAGAGATACAGTCATCTGATCTTCGACAAGGTGTCCAAAACACACATTGGGGAAAAAAAAAAAAAACTTCTACAATATGTGGTACCAAGGAAACTGATTATCTACACACAGAAGATTGAAACCAGGTCATTTCCCAGACTTTACAAAAATTTTAAATAGATGGAAGACCTTAACATAATATCTGAAATTATAAAACTGTTAGAGGAAAACAGGCAACTTACTTCAAGATACAGACATTGGCAAGACATGGTCCTTCTCTGAAAAGGATTCTAATAGCAAAGGAAATAGCACTCAGATTACTAAATGGGATTACATAACATTGAAAAGGTTCTGACATGCAAGGCTTTATATCTCCTTTACGTGGATCCTAAGGCAGAAGGGTCATGAGTTCAAGGCCATTATATAAAATATTTAAAGCCAACCTGAAATAAATAAGACTTTAAAAAAAAAAAAAAGCATGCAAAATAGAAGAGAATTTGCCATCAAATATGTTTGTACCAGTTATGTTTTATTATAAGCT